CATACCGAAGTTGGTGGTCCTAGCTCTTTCTGTTTAGGAGGAGTTCTTGAATGAACAGACAGACAAACTCTCAAATATACATAAGAACATAAGAATGGCCGTACTGGGTCAGACCAAAGGTCCATCTAGCCCAGTAGCCTGTCTGCCAACAGTGGCCAGCACCAGGTGCCCCAGAGGGGATGGACGGAAGACAATGATCAAGCGATTTGTCTCCTGCCATCCTTCCCCAGCCTCTGCCAGAGGCCAGGGGCACCATTTCTATCCCCTGGCGAATAGCCTTTTATGGACATAACCTCCATGAAATTATCTAGCTTCTCTTTAAACTCTATTATAGTCCTAGCCTTCACAGCCTCCTCTGGCAAGAAGTTCCACAGCTTGACTACACATATACAGTAGGTTATATGGTAAAAGTGAGAGAGTCAGACATTTTTCAGGGGCTGTGTGCTGTGACACTTGTGCATTTTTATGTCTGATTTTTGTAAGCAAGGAGTTTAAGTGAAATGAAACTTGGGGGTGTGCAAGACCGTCAGATTCCTGAAAGGGGGTACCATCATCTGGAAAGGTTGAGTGCCCCTATGTGATTATTCCCCTTTATTTGGTGCTGGTGAGGCCACATTTGGAGTATTGCATCCAATTCTGGGCTCCTCCCTATTACAGAAAGGATGTGGATGCATTGGAGAAAGTCCAGCGAAGGGCAACCAAAATGATTAGGAGGTTGGAGCACTTGACTTATGAGGAGAGGCTGAGGGATTTGGTCTTATTTAGTCTGCAGCTGAGTGAAGGGGGATTTGATAGCAGCCTTTAAACACATAGGGGAGGGGGAGGGTTCCAAAGAGGATGGAGACAGGCCATTCTCAGTAGTGACAGACGGTAGAACAAGGAGCAATGGTTTCAAGTGGCAGTGGGGAAGGTCTAGGTTGGATATTGGGAAAAACTATTTCCCTAGGAGGGTGGTAAAGCACTGGAATGGGTTCCCTAGGGAGGTGGTGGAATCTCCATCCCTAGAGGATTTTAATTCCTAGCTTGACAAAGCCCTGGCTGGGTTGATTTAGTTGTGGTTGGTCCTGCTTTGGGCAGGAGGCTGGACTCTATGACCTCCCCAGCCCTACGGTTCAAAGGTGCTGTGCCCATTGTGGCAGACCCCAGATGAGAAACAAAGTCCTACGGACTCCCAGCCCAATGCTGCAACATCCTACCGCAGTGCACCTCCCATTTGAGTTGCAATTTCAAACCCAACGGAGTCAGTGAAGAATGAGCTGCTCTGCTTTCTCAGGGCAGTTTGACTTTGTTACACATCACTGACTTTGAATTTTTATTAGCTGCAATAGGTTACTGGTCACCTTTGCCTCGGGCCTGGGAACAGCACGGGGCAGTGTGGTACAATGACTTAACGATTTACACTCTGGCCCGGAATGACGACACTGCCAAGAGTAGAAGCAAAGTAATTTAGGTTCTTTTTCTGCCTGGAACGTAAATGATTCTCGCATTCTTTAAAAAACAGAAGTGAATTGAATCCCTATTGCTTTAATTACACACAATGAGAATTCCTGAATTTACATTAAAAGGTTATAAAAAAATTATAAGGGAGCTAAACCCTCATGCTTCAGGGGAAAATTAAAAAAAAAATTGCCAAAAAAAACTGTCAGGAAATGAGGTGTGAATTTTTTTTAATGTTGATAGTGTTCCAGGGTTAATCAAGCTACCAAAGACTGCAGTGGATTCTCCATCCCTGTCCATTTTGAAATCAAGGTGGGAGGGTTTTTCTGAAGGACTGGCTCTAGGAGTGATTTGGGGAAGACCCGTGTCTGTACTATCTAAGAGGTAAGAGTAGATCACCATGAAGGGCCCTTCCGGCCTTAGACTCTAGAGTCAACCACTAACTGGGTTGATAGGGTTTAGGAGGAAACTTCCCCAATAGTAAGGTTATAGCAGTGGTCACCAACCAGTAGATCAGGATCTACCGGTAGATCTTGGAGCTTCTGACAGGTGACCATGATTGGGTTGGCCAAGAGGCTATCAAGTACCGGCTCTTCAGCTGCCCCTCCCTGCACTACTCTGCTGCTCCTGCCCAGAGCCTCAGAGCTATCCCCTGGGAGCCTCTTGTTTGTTGTGTGGGGTTGGGGAGACAGTGGCAGGGGAGCGCTGCCCCCCGCCCCCCCAGCCCCTATCTTCACAGAGGGAGGAGGGCAAGGCTTCGGCGAAGGGGCGGGGGCAGGGGTATTTGGGTTTGAGGTAGATAGTGACTTCAATTCAAAAAGTGGTCTTGTGCTTAAAAAGGTTGGAGACCACTGGGTTAGGGTGCAGCTGGCCATTCTTGCCTCTTCTGAAGAGGAGTTCATGTATTGTAGCGCTGACCCTGGCACGCGTTCTGGACAGAGATGCTTCTATGAATGTAGGAAATTGGGGACTGGCCAGGGATGTAATCAGTCTGCTAGAGAGGGCTGGGCTTAGATCAGTGATGGGCAACCAAGAAGAGCGTGTGGGCCATCTGAGTGGCTCTCCTTCATTGCAGTGGGCTGCAGCGGCCCACGGGGGTTCACCCCCTGTCTGCCCCTCTCCCCCACGTGCATCTCACACACTGGGACCTGCACTTCCTACTCCCATCCCCGCCCAGCACTTCCAGAGAGTCATCGCTCCTCCTCATCCTTCCCAGAGCTCGAACAGCTGATTTGTGGTGTTCCAGCTCTGGGAGGGAGAGGAAAGAGTAGGGAGTGTGGGGCTCCAATGTTCCAGCGCGAGTTGCATGGGGGAGAGGGGCAGACAAGAGGTCCCTGGGCTGCAGGTGGAGCTGCAGTGGGCCGCAGGTTGCCCACCACTGGCTTAGAATCTGCTAGTCCCGTGTTTCTCAACCAGTGGTACGAGTACCCTCTGGGGTACTCGAGAGACGTCTGGGGGGTACGTCCACACAACTGAAATTTGGGGAAAACTGAATTTTGGTTTTAAGTTTTACAGCGCGTTGTTATTGTACTTTTTACACCCAAAAATTTCATCACCAGCCCAGCTACAATTAAGTTGTTTAAACAAATGTGTTGCAATGATAGGAAAAAAAGTGCGAAACAAATGTGTTGCAATGGTAGGAAAAAAAGTGCATCTGAAAACTGTAGGTAGTGCGAGTACTTACAATTTTTTGTTATTTTTTAAAAAAAGGGGTACTTTATAAAAAGGTTGAGAAACACTCTGCTAGTCAGTGCTCTTGGCCCCATACCTGCATAAGGTGGCAAGCTCTCATGGGAATGTTGCCAAAGGCAAGCAGACTTTGGCCCCGCGTTGTTCCTGTTTCAGACCATGTGCTTCTTGTTTGTTCTTTCCGAAGAAGCTGCAGATCTGCATCACGTAATGCTTGTTACACAAGAGTTCCTGAGAATCAAATATTAGCAAAGCCAATGTTTAAACATTTCCTTGGATTTTTTTTTTCCTTTCCCTTTTCACTCCTTGTGATTCTCTCCGCTTTGAACCCATTGATTGCAGGCTGCCCACAGCCTGTCTTGGTCTCATGAACAAGCCCTACCTCTGGGAGACTTAGTGTGTGTCTAGACTACATGGCTCCGTTGACGGAGCCATGTAGAGGAGTTTATTAGACATTGCAAAATGAACGGCAATTTAAATAATCGTGCTTCATTTACATAAAAATGGCCGCCGCGCTGTGCCGACGATCAGCTGATCCGGCACAGTGGGGCAGTGTAGATGCAGCACGGTCGACAAGGGAAGCTCCGGTATGCTTCGTGAAACAAGGTTTACCGGAGCGGTCAGCAAAGACTTCCCTTGTTGACCGCGGTGTGTCCAGACTGCCCCGCTGTGCCGGATCAGCTGATCGTCAGCACAGCATGGTGGCCATTTTGATGTAAATGAAGCGCGATTATTTAAATCACCGCTTCATTTTGCTATGTCTAGTAAACACATCTACATGGCTCTGTCGACGGAGCCATGTAGTCTAGACACACCCTTAGTTATGCTGCTGTCCCAGTGTAGGGAGACGTAGGCTGATGGAAGGACTCTTCCATTGGCTTAGCTACCGCCTCTTGGGAAGGTGGATTACTTATGCCAATAGGAGAACCCATCCTGTCAGCACAGGAAGTGGCGCTGAGAGACCCAAACATTGAAAAATTAGGCATTTCTTGAGACTGGATTAATAAAATAAGAGAATACATTCTGATACTATATGCTTGGCTTTGGAGCCTTTCGGGCTCATGTTTTGAAGCTGTATTTCCTACCAAATGAGGATGAAAACTTTGTTTTTTCTTTAAAGCAGAGTTATAATTGTTCTGTAGCCTCTTGACTCCAGGAACTGCTAGGCCTTTAAGAAAAACTACATTGCACAGGGCTTGTGGATACAGTCTTGAGAGTCGGTAACAGTGGGTTTGTGGGAGCAAAAGTTTCAGCAGCATTTTTGCACATCTGAGCCGGTTATCCCATTTCGGATATACCTTATTAACCTTCTTTTATGGTTGCAAGTCTATGTTGGAAAAGAAGGGGTGGAGTAGAAACAAAACTTGACTTCTCTGCAGGAAATACCAAATCACTTCAAGCTTCCCTCAGAAAATTGAAAACTTTTTCCCCTTTTAGACTTTCCAGACTGTGAGGGTTTTTCTGATGAAAAGTCAAAGATCCTTTGAAATGTTTGGCAACAGTATTTTTGTTTAAATTTTTCCACAGTGGGGGGGAAATCCCGCTTTCCGAGAAGCTCTAATTATGGTACAACAAGCCTTCATTGCTCACGAGACAGTGAGTGTAACGTGCTGATGATGCACCATGCATCTGCCTACTCACTGCTTAGAAAGGCTTTGAGACCAGCTTGGGGAGCAGCTGTTTAGGCACTGAGAGAGTTAGTCAGTGCAGGCATTGCTGACCCAGGCATCCTTGAGAGAGAGCGCGAGTCATAGCTGAAATGAGCGAATTTTGAGTCAGAGCCTTGTCAAGAAGGTGGTGGCATGAAAGGAAATGTGCCAGAACAAATAAAGAGTGTCTTCTTCTCCCCCCTCTTTCTCCCTCTTTCTCTGCAGAGAATCCCAGAGGAGCTAACCCTTGATGCCTTACTGGATATGAACGAATCAAAGGTGAAAGAAACCATGAAGCGATGTGGGGCCAGTGATGAGGAATGTTCCAGACTCAATGGGGCTCTCACCTGCTTAAGGAAGGTGACTGAATCAGGTAGAGATTTCCTTGCTGTTTGATGGGATTAGTGGCAATGTTCCCTCATTTTGTCCCCATTCATGTGCGGAATAAACTTTGTTTTGTGCACAGAGACCTGTGTGAATGTGCATCATTGGAATCTGTCCTGGGTGGCCTCCCTTATGCTCAGGTGACAGGGAACCCTGATTAGTGGCTAATTAGACATTCGCACCACCCTCCGCCCCCCCCCTCCCCATTTTGTTTAATCTAAAAATCTTCTGGAGAATCTCTTGAGCTTATTCTGCTGGCAACATTTAAGGACCAAGTTTTTTGCTCTTGGATGCATGTGAGGTTCATATGATTAAAATGATCAGGAGCCACATACCCCTGGGAGGACAGGAAATGGCTCTCTGGGTGCATTCAGTTCTGGAAATGACTATAGAGCCACTTCTATCTCCGTAGACCTGCTCAGAAATCCGTTTAATGCCTGTGCTAACAGACTGTGCCTTCAGCTTAAAACTAGCACCCGCACACTGCTTTGGCACGTAGAACCTGGAGCATGTGAAGGTATCCTGATATTAGGGGCTTTGCCCACAGGGACTGGCTCCCACAGGCACTGGCTCCCAACCCTCGCCCTCTTCCTCCCTCTGATACAGAGACAGCAATGGGGGGAATTGTGTGTAGTTGTTTTGATTAACCGATAAGACCAGGCTTATTGGTTCGTCGTTTAAATGGCTATACACGAACATCCCTAGCAACTATTTAAAAAAATAGTGTCCCAGGGATTTTTTCATACTTGCAATCTCATGGCCCAAGCTGATCGCTATCTCGCTCATTAAGAACATATTCATTAGCAGGGTTGCAATTGCAGATCTGTATTGATGATGATGCCAGAGCCAGAAAGAACCTAGCATGACTTTCAGAGGGTAGGGAGGGGGGGAGTGTGTGGAAACATGAAGTAAACACCTTTCTGCAAACAGATTGGATCCTTTGTCAAGTCATAGCTAGTGGACTGTTTTTTCAAAGCCCTTTCTTAGAAAAGTGCTGTTCTTCAATGCACTGGCACTTTGTAGCTTTATGGAAAGCTGGGAGTGTTACTTGCAGCCAACTGTCATAATCAGCATCAGATCTTTCTTTGTAACAGTTACTGCTGTTGCTGGAAGGTGTCATTTCCTGTTGGTAATCTGACAGTTCATACCTCTGGCAAATCTAAGGACCTGCAAATGGAAAAGTTAGAGCAGAACTTGACTTCACGTTTCCTTTTCTTTTCTTTGCTTTTCTTTTTTTCCCCTTCTAATCTTTCCATTTTAGGTTGTCAAGTATTTTCCATCCATACTGTGACAAAAGAGCCATTACCTCTAGCTCAGGCAGTTCAGTTTCCTTTAAGCAGTGGCTCCTGACCAAAGTTCTAATTATTATGTTATCATTTGGCACGAGAGGTTGTTACTGGAGCAGAGGACGAGGAGCCAGGACTCTTGGGTTTGGTTCCCAGTTCTGCCACTGCTTGGCTGGTGTGATGTAAGGCAAGATGCTTGGCCTTGATCCATCAAGTCATTTAAACACATGCTGAACTTTAAGTTCGGGAGTTGTCCTATTGACACCTTGCGTGCTTAAAGTCGAGCCTGTGCGTAAACGTTTGGATGGACGTGGACCTTCTCCACCAAATGAGCCTGTGGCAAGTGAATAATACTTAGCACCTTACCAAATTCACAGCCACGTAGAGCCGTAGAACACGTCATGGACCATGACATCTGGCCTTGTGTGCTTTGTACCCTGTGCTATACAGATTTCACAGGGGAGACCAGCATTTCTCAAAATGGAGATCCTGACCCAAAGGGGAGTTGCTGGGGTGGGGGCATGGAATTGTACCCTTATTTCTTTGCTGCTTTCAGAGTTGGACAACTGGAGAGTGGTAGTAAGAATGTTGTCCGGGTGCCCAGCTCTGAAGGCAGCACCCTACCAGCAGCAGTGCAGAAATCAGGGTGGCCATACCATACCCGTGTCACCCTTCCGCACTGCTGCTTTCAGAGCTGGGTGGCCAGAGAATGGTGGCAGTTGACTAGCAGCACAGAAGGAAGGGTGGCAACACTACACCAGGTTGTCCTTATTTCTGCGCTGCTGCTGGTGGTAGCTCTGCCTTCAGAACTGGATTCCTGGCCAGTAGCCGCTGATCTCCAGCTGCCCAGCTCTGAAGGCAGTGCTACTGACGACAGCTGCGCAGAAGTGAGGGAAGCAGTGCCGCAACCCCTATAAAGTAATCTTGTGACCACCTCCTATGACTCCTTTTTGGGTCAGGGCCCTACAATGACCACACCCTGAAGTTTCAGATTTAAAAGCTGAAATCCTGAGATTTACCACTTAAAAAAATCCTATGACCGTGAAATTGACCAAAATGGATTGTGAATTTAATAGGGCTAGCCATGTGAAAGGTTAGCCGGTAAGCCAGGGTGATGCTTACTGGTTCTGGTTAACCGTGAACAGGCTGGAGCTGCTCCCCACCTGCCATGGGCAGAGGGCTGCTCCAGCCCTGCAGGGGGGCCGTCCGTTCAGAGCAACCCCTATCCACAGTAGGCTTGGGCATATTGCAGGCAGTGGCTGCTCCGGCTGGGCTGGATTTCCCCCCCCCCCCCATCTTTAATAAGTTAACCAGTTAAACAATACACTTAACCAATTCAGTGGAATGGTTACATCCCTCCTAGGGCTCTAATAATACTCACCTGCCTCCTAAGGGGATGATGGAATTTAGTGGAGATCTTCAGCGGAGAGGCATTAGAGAAGGAAGTATTGTCCCTTCTGAGAGCTCACGTTACGAAAGACTCGACAGGTTCAGTCCCCTCCAGCCTACCCAGCAGATACTGGTGCTGATGAAATGAACGTTACTAGAATGTGTCAAAATGCTGGAATGTGAGGAGGAGCACTGCCCTTCTAACAGAGGCAGTTATGCCTTGATACTCTGGAGTGCCTGGTTTGTGATACGCTACAGACAGTGGCTAAGCACTACTGACGCATGGGGACAAGTGACAGGCAGAGACAACTTTTTTAAACATAATTTTTCTGGTTGGACACGACTCCCCCTTTCCCCCTCCCCAAGCCGTGGATGTGGGTTGGGGGGCTGTAATCTTTGATACAATCATCATTCAGACACATTTCTGCCTCTCTGATGTTAGGCCAGCTTTACAATGGCATCGAGTCATGTATAAATGTAGATAAATGCCTAGTGGGATTTACAGAAGTGACTAAGGGTGCATCTAGACTGCAGGGCTTAGCTCAATTTGCGCGGCTTATTTCGAGTTATCTCAATTGCATAGCTTATACCGAAACTGGGAGTGTCTCCACAGCACTTATTTCAAAATAAAACACTCTTCCTCCGACTTCCCTTGCTCCTCGTAAAATGAGGGTTACCGGAGTTGGAGTAAAGTCCTCCAGCTTGACAGTATGTCAACATTATTTCAAAGGAAGTGCCTGCTGTGTAGAGGCGGACTAAGTTATTTCGAGATAACGCTACTTCGAAATAACGTCGCTGTGCACACGTACCCTATGTGAATTAGGTGCCTAACCGCCAAAGACTTTCAATGTGAGTTAGACACCTAACTGACTTAACTCCTTTCAACAGTTTATGGCAGGTAGGTGCCTGTCTCAGTGGCACACTTCTTTAAATCCCACCAGGCAACTCTCTGCATCTCAGGTACCTAAAGAACTTGTAAATCTAGCCCCCAGCTGGTCATGCACCTTCTAGGAGGCAGGAGATTTATTTAGGTTTCGTAGCTCCTGGCTACCATTAGGAAAAGGGAACAGTTTTTGTTGCCGTCATTGGCAAGGAGTTTGAGCTGGCTGTTTAGAAGACTCTGAGGTATTGAACTAGTGGTCTGCCCAAGGAGAACCTCCTATTGTCCATAAGTCTCGTTGTGCTGATTTTCTGTCCATTGCTAACACTGAGACTGTTGCCGAACAGGTGGGGAGTTAAAAGAAGACCTGTTGTGGAATAATTCCGACGTGCGCCGAGAGAGAACCTCTGCTCACCCTGCAGAACCCCCCTGCCCACCAGGGCCTGTGTGGACTTCTAGTCTCCTGCATCTGTCGAAGGGCAACAGCCAGCAGGCCCGCTCTGTGTCGGTGTCCGCTATCGCTTCTTCGGAGTCTCTCGCCTCGAGCCATGGACCTTCTAACTATGCAGATAACTTCTTGGAACCGTTAGCGTACCCGAGCCACAGTGGCCACGTGGTATTTAGGACTCCTCACAGCATCACCATCACGCCGCCAACGACACCTCAGTTAAAAACGCGGCACAAATTGAAACCCCCACGGACTCCCCCTCCGCCTAGCCGGAAGGTTTTTCAGCTGCTACCAAACTTTCCAACCCTCACAAGAAGCAAGTCCCACGAATCACAGCTGGGCAACAGAATAGATGAAGTCCCTCCTCTAAAGTAAGCCTGGGATTTTCCAACTTCTTCTTAGTGGAGTGGGAATTGGGGGTGGGGAGGGTTCTTTTACACTCTGGGCTCTTTTTTGGGAGAGGTGTGGGGGGAGGGAGGGCTGCATGCATCGTTCCAGTTCCCATTTCTCAGATTACAAAATAACCAGGAAGTTTTGGAGACCACCTAGACCTGTTGTAAAGTAGAACGTAGCCGTCTGTTTTGATGAAGGCTCGCTGCTGAAACGTATGCTTGGTAGAAACACTCTGCCACTGTTACATGAGGCTAACAGTCTAGTAGGCCCAGTCCATGACACCTTTGTACCACTGTCACTATGGGCAGTGGGTGAAGGCCCAGGTGGGGAAGGCAAGCCCCAGCCCTTCCCTTTTTACCCATGCCACACCCCTTCTCCTGAGACTATGCCCCTTCGCCCCCCAGTCAAGCCTTGCTCAACGCCAGCTGTGGATGGGGGCTGCCGTGCCACGTGGCCCCAGCCCCTCCCAGCCAGCTGGGCAGCGTAGGAAATTCTGGGAAGGCAATGCCTTCCCTTGCTTACATTACCTGCCACCCATGGCCGTCCCATCCACGCTCTCAAATCAAACTGGGTTGGATCACTATGGACTCAGATTTGACAGAGGGTGGTGACTGGTTGTGGTGCTACTCTTCCCTTGGAATCCATGTTGGTGAACTCCCTTTCCCAACATTCATGGGCGTTTGCACTTATGACATTTTTCAGATCACACCTACTCTAGATTTAGATTTAGATAGCTTGCTGTTACTAGGGATACCAGTGGTCTTTTTTTGTGCAAGAGCCCCCTGCCCGATTCCATGTATAGCAACTTGATACACAGTGTAGTTGGCTATTGTGTCTTTCGCTCCTTGTTCTAAGCTGGGTTAAGTATTGCTGAGGCTTTTAAACAGCTGCATCTCTGTGACGGAAGAAATGAGATCTGGATGTAGTTCTGTGTATCCATTTAGGGCTTGCGAGATGCTTTGTAGGTATTTTGGGATGAAAGATGTTCTGTTAATGCAGCATTTGCTTATTTTTGGAAATGAGCATGAGCCAAGCACCCTGGTAAGTCAGAGTAGTCCTGGCTTTTGGGGAAGCTCAGATCAGGAGCCAAAGTTTGCAACTAGCATTAAACCAATGCCACTTAGCTGGCCCTTCTGCCCCTTTGAAGGAGTTGTCCAGCTAGGACCTGGCTTTACTGAAGGCTTGTACAAAGGAGTTGTTTGTTTATGAGCTGCTTTAGTGGTGAGTAAGGCAGTTGCACACCCTTTTATATGAAAGGGAGGGAAGGAAAGTTACCATAGTTAGTTATGGTTACCGATGACTATGGAAGAGTTAAGAACAAAACCACATGTGACAAATACAAATTCTGCTTCGCTTTCAAACCGAAGTGCGAATGAAGCGTGTGCTGGATTAGAGAGGTTCATCCTCTCTACAAACTGATTTCCGCAATGAGGGAGAGGTATTCCCTTGAGTCGAAAAGAGGTGTAGCTGGCTACAGATCTTTTGCTTTAAATCTAGTGGTGAAATCCTGGTCTTACTGAAGTCCGTGATAAAACTGCTGACTTCCGGAGGGCCCAAAGTCTGTTTGGGTGGCCAGGGTAGCACTTCATTGTTGTTGAGATTTTAATGGATCAAAATGGCCCTGCTCATCCTCCACATGAATTTGTATAGCTCCATGTGCTCTCTTTGTTTGGCGTGGAATGTATAAATGATAGAATTTACACCTCAGCAGCAGGGAGGGGGAGGGCTTTCAACAGAGCCTAAGGGATTTAGACTCCCACATGATTTGAATACCTAACTCCCTGAAATTCCTTTGACAATCCCGGTCATTGACTATCCTCCACTTTCACATAGTGTGTGCGTGCGCACGGGGATCTCTGTCCAGTGAATTATATCATTCATGTACACAATAAGGTGTACAAAATATTGCATATGCAAGTGCAAAGATGCCTTTGGGGGGAAAAACAGAGGCCATGTTTTGAAAATAGAGCCTTAAAGGTTGTAATGAGGGCTCTGCACTTAAGAGAGAAGTTTAGCTCATCTGTCACATGATCATTTGTGTTGAAAATTGTTTTGTTTTTTTTTTCTTTTTGTCTTCTAGGCTTGGTAAGAAACAGATTTTTTGGGGGGCAGTCTTCGCATCGTTGCCTGCGGGGAAAAGAATGTCTTATCATTGTGGCACCAGTATGGTCCTGTTTTTATGCTAACTTTTTGGAAGTCCTCCATGTCGAGCAGTTGTTAACGTTGGCAGACATTTCCTAGCATGAGCGCTGCAAGATCAGTCCTCATTTGTTAACACGAATAGAGCAACAAAAAGAAACCTTGATACTGTAGGGATTGGACCTGCATTGAAGGTGGTTTTGTTTAAAATTTCTCCCGTCTTTCCACACTCTTGGTATCAACATATGTTGGTATTTAAAAGCTCTAAGTACACAACCGACCATTCAGCATCAGTACATACCATTACCAGATCCTTCTATGTAGCACAAAGTTTCTTAAATTTCACATAGCCTTGGCTTTAGGGATCATGCAATGCCTGTATCTGCAACATGGGGCTTTGTGAGTAAAATGTAATGGTTGCTTAAGGCTTAGCTGTGCAAGGTGCAGAGTATGCCTGCTCTAACCCAGCAAAACACGGGCTCATGCTTAGCTTTATGCACACAGTCAGTCCCACTGGAGTCAACAGGGCTAGTCAGATGCTTAAAATGAAACATAGGCTGATGTTTTTCAGCATTGGGAGCAGTGAACTCAGCAGCTGTCACAATCAAACTCCTAGCACTTGAACTGTGGTATGCTATGGTGTGACAGCAGTGGTCGGACAATACACGTCTGCCATGCACCACTGCCTTCATCATAAAGCTAAAACAGAAAACCCCTTGTCCTTTAAAATGTGTTAGCTTTACTGTAAAAAATAAAACTAAGACTTTCATGTGCACTATATGGGTGGGTAGGTATTTATAAAGCATAACTGCTTTAAAAGAGAACCCTAGAAGTTACTTTCCCAAAAATAAATGGTTGCTAGTTCATAGCGGCTTCAGCTCGTGCCCAGATTGCTTTTCTTGGCGCAGCCTGGCCCTAGGTCTTCAGATGCTACAGGCAGGTGACATTGGTCAGTGGCCCCTTCCTAAGGGACATAGCTGCAAAAGGTAGGTGTTTGCAGAACCGGGGAGGACAGAGGGAGGGAATTTTCATTCACCGTCCCGTAGGTGTTTCCCAGGAAATCCACTTCACATGCGTTGTCCCAAAAGTCCATTCATATCCGCTGCACTGTTCGGTATAGATCTTTCATCGACCAGGCCACAATTATTTAATCTGATGATGCCAAAGATACCGACGCTGAATTTAAGGAGGCGTTTCAGGGATCTGGCAGGAACTAATTGCCATATCAATCACGCAAGCTGCTTTTTCTAAAATCATGGCTATCCATCAAGCACGGTCTGTAAAATTGGACAACATAGGTACTGTAGGGTCCATCTAAGCAGCCCGCAGCAGCAAGCCTCCCAGCCCAGATCAGTAGACCACAGCTAGTGGGGCTAATGCTCTACAACTAGCTGTGCACACAGGGCTCTGGCACTGTGGCTAGGGCTGCAGTTTGGGCTGTTTTTTAAGCACTAGTGCATGTTCCGCAGCCCCAGTCTCTGGACCCAGGCTGGGAGACTTGCTGCCAGCTGGGTAGAGAGAGGGTGGAACATTTCTGTGATGTATCAATAAAGGATCTGCTGCCATCTAGGGACAGAATGGGAAATGGGTGTTCAGAAGTATTGGCACGATGCATCGGGAGCTGTGCATTCGGTGTGAGGCCCATCTGTGGGGTACTGAAATATCAGCATCCTGGAAAAGCTGGCAGAATAGAAATAAAACTCTAGTGGAAGCAGCATTGCCTACTAGGTAGAGCACTGGACTGGGACTTGTGAAACAAAGCCTGGTTTCCCTGGCTCTGCCACTGGCCAGCTGAATGACCTTGGGCAAGGCACTTCGCCTCTCTGTGGTCAGTGCCCTAACTGCAAGATGGGGATAATGATTCTGATCTCCTCTGTAAAGTCCTTAGTGATGGACTGGTGCAAAGCCTACCTAAGAGCTGGGCGGTAATAGTCATAACCAAGCATTATTTGGTGGTCCCCTTCCAGATCAAGGCTGCCCTCCTAAGCAGGCATTTGAAGCTGGTTTAAAATTGGGACTCCCCTGCCCCGCCCCCGAAACCCTGTTTTTGTTCCTTTTGTTTTCTTAATAACATTTTCTTGCTACTATAGGGCTAGACTTGTGTAACCTTTATTGCTGCTGGAGACATAATAAGACTACTTGTGTGAGTGAGTCGGTGCTCCTCAGAGCAAGTAAGCATTGCCCAGACCTACCCCATAGTACTCAACGGGACAGGATGTATTTCAGCCTTGTGTTTGATTTGCCTTAAAATGCTAGCAAGCTGATGGGAAATGTGAACCATCCACCAAGCCGTGCAAATATTTATTAGCATGTCTGATGGGGCCTCCTTTAAGGGGTGCTGCATTTGTAAGATGGGTGGACTTTCCCCATCTCTAGTCGTGATCTTGTAATAATAATTTGTTTTCCCCTACTAATAAGTTCTATAAATCTGCACACTCCTACTAAATGTAGAGCAGGAAACCATTTACAGCTTATATTGGTTCCACACACGATGAAAAGAGCAGCTTCTGGGCAATGTTCCTGCTCATCTTTTTCAATCCACGCACGGATGTGTTTTTTTTTATCCGTGTGCAGAATAAATGTATGTGCACTGAAGCGTGTGTGAATGTGCACTACCAACAGAAACAAAACCTCACTTTGGGTGCTCTGCTGATCAGCTAGGTGGCATTGGAATCTCCTGAGTGGCCTCATGGTTACCCAGCTGACAGGGAACATTGATCCTGGGGCATGTGAGCTATTGCCATGATTTGAAACACTAAGGCCTAAGGGCAAGCGACTTAGTTTCTCAGTTCCCATTGAACTCAATAGCTGCTGGGGGCCTGACGAGGGGGGGGAGGAGGTGCATTACTGATCTCTTGTGCAAACACAGGTGTAGTTGGGCTCTCTTGGTGGCATTTGCTGCTCATTGTTCCCTTAGAAATGAGATTTTCATGTGCAAATTTCCCTTTAGATTTCTGAAATGCTCACAAGTTAAGGGCGGTTTGGTTTTTTTTGTGGCTAACATGTAATTTGTTCTCCCCACATCAGATCTCCCCCAGGCATCCCCTCAGGCAGGACGAAGAGACATCGGCTTATCAGTAACACACAGGTAAACACCACCACCCAAGGCAGCAGGAGTCACGAAGGAAATGAAATGGCTGTTGCTTTAATGGGCGCCATCACCTTTTAGAACAGTTTATAGCTGGGGCTAATCTGAAGCTAGGTCTACACTGAGTGTTTTATGTGGAAGAGGAAATGCAAATGGAGCACTCGTTTGCATATCTTGAGCTCTCATTTGCATATCTTCTTCCGGTCCTTTTTGCGGAAGAGGTTTTTGTGATAACAAGCCCTGTATAGACGGGGTCATTTTTGGGGGGGGGGGGAATCCTTTTGCACAAGAGTGCCTTATTCCTCAAAAAATGAGGTTTACAGGCACTTGCTCAAAAGAGGTTTTTTTCTGACAAATGGCCCCCTCTACATGGGGCTTTTTGACGCAAAAACCTCTTCTGCAAAAAGGACCGGAAGAAGATATTCAAATGAGAGCACAAGATATGCAAACAAGTGCTGTAAACTGTCTGTCGTTAACCAGCAGTGTTTCGGTGACTGATTTTCTGTTGAACTAGCCCCAATATGACACTTTCCCTTCTTCTGTTCAGATTCTCTACAAAATCTTGGTTATCTCAGATGTGCCACGTGTGTCAAAAAAGCATGATGTTCGGTGTGAAGTGTAAGTACTGCAGGTGAGCACAGACCGCTGGTCCTTACTGAAGGATGCTTCGTTATCGATGTATTATTTGTTCTCTGAGATGTATTGGCTTTGTTTATTAGTTTGTTAGAACTTTGGGCCCTGATTCTGCCCTGGGGTCCTTTAATGTAGAGAATCATGGAGGGAGGGAAACCATGATCCATTGATTAGGGTGGTATCTTGAGACATGGGATACCCTCGTTCCATTCCTTGCTCTGCCACAGGCTCCCTAAGTTACCTCGGTCAAGTCACTTATCTGTGCTTCATTTTTCTCAACTGGAAAGGGAAGTGAATAGCACCGCCTTACTCTCACAAAACTCATGTGAGATAAATGCATAGAAAACAATGTCGTGTTCAGATATTACAGTAAAGGGGCTATAGAAGTGCCTCGTAAAGGAGGGCTACATCTGGGTGCAGGCCTCGGCCTGCTGTCCCATCACAGTGCAGCACTGGGTCCCTACCAGTTTTTGAGGCACTTCCTTTGAAATCAGCACACAATCTACCAGCAGCCTAGACTCTGGATTGTCTGTAGTGAGTGAATTGCCGTCTAATGTCTGTCTTTCTCTCTTTCACAGATTGAAGTGTCATAATAAATGTACTAAAGAGGCCCCTGCCTGCAGAATATCGTTCCTTCCCAGTAAGTTTGCTGTGAACCTCAGCATTTTATCTTTCTTCACTGATGTTATCATCTTGAGACTCAGCCTGACAAAACCCTTCTCTTTTTTTTTTCCCCCTCTCTTCTCTCCCTCCCCTTTTCAGTAGCAAAAATACGAAGGACGGAGTCTGTCCCTTCAGATATTAATAACCCCGTGGATAGACCTACAGAGCCGCAGTTTGGAACCCTTCCAAAAGCACTAACTAAAAAGGTAGCTGGCGAGCAAAGCTTGTGATGGGTCTTTTGAGCAATTGAATTGTGAGCTGGTCTGGGAAGATGGAGCCCGTTGGCTAGTAGTGTGACCACAGCATTGTTTTTCGCACATCTCTGTGTGAAAAGTCTCAGTTTCCCCATGTGATGTGTGAAATGTGGCTTTTGAGCAGCTTCCGCTCCTCTGCTGCTTCAGGGGGACCGAACCGAGAACCAGAACAGTCGAGGGGAGAAGAGCGCAGATCAAGAAGGGAAAATTGGGTTTTAGATTAAACAAAAATAGTAAAAAGCATCTGCTCTTGGCAGAAAAACGTTGATATTTTTCTGGAAATAATGAATGACCAGAATCCAAGAAGTTATCAATTTCCAACCAAAAACTGAAATGTTTGGTTCCAAATGGCATCTTGTGTGAATTGTAGTTTGGATGTCTGCTCTCTGGTCCAGGCTCTCTGTCCAGACTCCCTCTTTGATGGGCCATGACCAGGAGCACCAAGGGCTCATCCCTCCACTCACCCAGGGGGGTGAAGGTGACCCATCCTGAGAGCAGTCATTTGGCCAGAGAGCCCAGCTCATAGTGGAGAATGGGAACCTAAAGGACCCAGATTTTGACTCCCATGAGGTGCCATTTTGTTCTGAAATACGTAAGTTGTTGATATTTTTCTGAAAAGTCAGTTTTCCAAGGAATAAAAGCCTCTTCTCCATCCAGTTCTCTAATGGAAAAGCTGTATTGGGACAGGCTGTCCATCTCTTCCAGTGCAGCGTTGTTGCCTGTATAGGCGACCCCCGCACTTACGATCGAATTGGTTCCTGGAGAACCGTCGTAAGTTGAACCTTTATTTCCCATAGGCACAATGATATAAATGGGGGTTCTGTTCCTGGTCCTCTTTGCCTCCTGGGAGTTGTAGTCCCCAGCTGTGCTGGGTGGAAGCGACACCGTGCAAGCTGCTCCTATAGTCGGCCTGGGGCAGGTGGGTTTGAGAGGCTGGGCCGGAGCAGGGCGGTCATAAATGCAGGGGGGTCGTAAGTCGGGCAGTCCTAAGTTGGGGGTCGCCTGTAGTGGATTTCAGAGGGGTTCCTAGTTGGGGGGGGGGGTTGCGACCAATGGAAGACAGGGAGTAAGTAGGTGCTAGTTCACAACCCTGCCCTTTCTGTGGTGCTAAATGGGGGCAGGGTCCCAGGTAAATGAGAGGATGGGGTCATGTGGAAATGGAGAACAGCTGGTTCGGTCCTGTCTGGTTGGAAGGCCCACATGGGTGCTTCCCCCTCTGGGCAGGAAAATGATAAACACATTGGTGAATGTTACCTTGTGTTTAGCCAGTGGGGTGACAGCTGCATTTCTCATTCACACCTGGAAAGGAGAGGGCCGGGGTTACAAACAGAACTGTGCAGCACGCTTGAGAGGCTGACCTTGTCGGTGTGCACCACCGAAACGTGTGGCTAGAGGAGAGGATGTAGAACTGGGAGGGTTTGCGAGGCATAAAACGGGAGGGCAACGGGAGGCGCATTACACGGATTGCATGCTGAGTGCACTCAACATTGACCGGTGAGAGCCGTGTGCTCCCTCTGCATCCCGTCAGTCCGCACAGCCTGCAAATTCTAGATACGCGAGCACCGGGAGCAAAACGACGCTAGCCCAGGAGCCATCTTGTTTACGACAATCTTGTGGCCCACTGAGGTGAAGGAGTCTCTCAAGTCTGCCGCCTGCTCACTAGCCTAGGTTCCCATCGCTGGCATAAAAGAACAGTAGTTCTAATCTGTGTGTATGTGGGCACATGTATTGCTTTTTTTGTCTCTCAACCAGAAGCAAAATTCTTGGGGGGCTCTAATGATGTTGAGCATCCATAGACCCCAGTGATTCTAATGGAATGTGCACATGCCCAGTAGTAACTTTTAAAAATCTCTCACCCCAAACCACCACAGTTTGCTTCGTAGCAGCAGGATCTTGCTGTGTCTAGGTGACCAATTTTCAGCTAGATTAGCCTACAGGTAACGAATTCCTCCCATCCACCTGAAGAGTTCAGTGGCTTACAAACAAAACTCCGCCACACTTCTTGTTTTTTCACTCTTAATTGTGTCTGTGATTCCTCAGAACACAGCCCGGTCTCTGATCCTGCTTTGACGGAAATCCTTGGGAGTTCTGCTGCTGAGATTTCAGAGCTGCCTAGGGGCTTTGAGTGCCTCATTCCTATTAACGCTGAGTGGCTGCTCTGCTTCGGGGAAAGTTGGGGACTCATCAGTAAGCATCTTCCTTTCCTCAACAAAATCACCTAGTGGCTTTTGTTGCTTTGCAGGAGCACTCCCCAGCAATAAGCCACTTAGACTCCAGCAGCAATCCATCTTCGACCACCTCCTCCACGCCGTCTTCTCCAGCACCTTTCCAGTCTTCCAATCCTCCCAGCGCGACGCCGCCCCCAAATCCCTCGCCCATGGGCCAACGGGACTGCCGGTTTAACTTCCCAGGTAACTGGTTTCAGGAGAACTGTGGGATGTCAGGGCAATGGGGAAGAGAGGGTCTAAGGGAGGGGCCTGTGTACCATTGTAACGCAGCAACTATGCACAGCCCTCCCAGTGCAGAACAGCAACACTTCTTACTGCGTGAGTCTCTTGGCGAGATTACTCACCCCCATGAAGTTGGCTGCTACTGCGGGCTTGTTCCCATTTTGGGGTCAACTCATGCTCCTAGGAATCCACCAGAACCTGGCCTGTTTCCACAGTGTTTCCAAGTCCAGACAGAGTGGATTTCTGTCCTGATGGGTCTCTGTATTGGAATGGGGCGGTGGGGGGGGCTAACATACTCATCAGCTAATTGCGACTAGGTCGAGAAGCCACTGCACAGTAAAATAGCTTGCGGGCCAGTGATTTAGGGCAGCAGCTTTCAAACTTTCTCTCATGACCCAGTGGAAGAAAATCATTGATGCTACGACGCAACATAATTGGACTAGAGTGTGGGCCCCGGGGTGGTGCTGTGGATAAGAACTTTGGGGTGTGGGAGGGGCTCTGGCTTTGTGTGAGGATCAGTGCTAGGGTGGGAGGGGCTAATCTTGATTGCGGGCCAGTGATTTAGGGCAGCAGCTTTCAAACTTTCTCTCATGACCCAGTGGAAGAAAATCATTGATGCTACGACGCAACATAATTGGACTAGAGTGTGGGCCCCGGGGTGGTGCTGTGGATAAGAACTTTGGGGTGTGGGAGGGGCTCTGGCTTTGTGTGAGGATCAGTGCTAGGGTGGGAGGGGCTAATCTTGAGCAGCTCCCAGTTGTGGTGCAGCAGGGGGGCTAAGGCAGCTTCCTGCCTCTCTTGGCACTGCAGACCATGCTGCCCCCAGAAGCAGCCAGCAGCTGGGGCCCCTATTGCCCGGGGCGGGGGCAGTGCACAGCACCCGGTGTGCTCCAGCCTTCTCAGCCTAGGAGGTGGGTCTGCTGCCGGTTGCAGCACAGTCTGTGGTGCCAGGACAGGCAGGAAGCTGCCTTAACACCCCCACTGCTTGCCTGATCCCCCTGCAGCAAGGAGCCCCAGTGCCCGACCTCTCACCACCCAATCCTGGGTTGCAACCCATCGTTTGAAAACCACTGCGTTAGCGGGAGGACAGGAAATAAAGGGCCATGTGCGAGACCCTCACAGCTTTGCTTTTTGGGCTGTGCATTTGGTTTCTACATGCGAGTCACGTATGGGCAACATTGCCCATGGGCATCTGCAGCCCATGGATCTGGAGCAAGGCTCGGACGCCTCCATACGCGGGCATGAGACGGAGTTCTGCTTGAGGAGCAGGGTCTATTGTGTCCTCCTGTGCACAGGAGGCTCTGTCCTCATAGCCTGGATTAGCTTGCAAGGTCAAGGAGGCCCGGGGCTGTTGCCCAACCCTTCTGCTGTACCTCAGGAGCCGTGCCGCCACTGGCCAGCTCCCCCTCTTATAACTGGTCGTTAGTTGCAAAGGAGGGGTCCATGGGAACTGTTCACACCCGCTCTGGTTTCTAACCAGAAGCTTGCTCTGCTTCTGTAGACTACTAATAGCAAGCAGCTTCTCCCTGGGTGCACTCCAATGTTCCCTCTAATTTTTTTTTTCCCAATCCACGTGCGGAATAAATTGCTCTGTGCACTGAGGCATATGCAGATGTGCCTCACCAGTAGAAACACATGGTGCCAGCTGTGGGTGACGGTGGATGCTCTGCTAATCAGCTGGGCAGCATTTGAAAATCTCCCGGGTGGCACCAGGAACACAAGTGCACTTCCTTCTCTCCAAGAACTTGCATGAATAAACTATCCATGGCCTGCTGGTGAGAGGATTTCATGGGATCCTGGGAGAGGGGTGCAGAACTGTTACTCCACCTCCACAATGCCCCCCTCTAACCCGAAAGTCTGGTCTCCCCAACACTAACGTGAAACAGAGGGAAAGAATTGGCTGCCTTACAATTGGTATTTGTACTTGAGCTCCTTTTTATCTCCATCTTGGTTTGAGGAGGGGCAGAAAACCCCTGAGAAACCAAGCTTTGACTTTGAAATCAAAGCAGAAGAAAAGCTACTCTGACTTGCACATCTTGTGCCTCTCTGCCTCGCTTCATGCTGTCTGAAATGTGCATGGTTTTTAAAGGTATTGAAAGTAAAGTTACCTACTGTAAAACGTTTACGTGTCTCCAGGGGTCCCCCTTTTCCCCACATTTCCCTCTTTAAAGAATATATGAAAAATCAGTAACATTCTCCTTGGATTGGAATATCTACATTGCTTTCTGTGTGTGCCTTAATGACTTGAAATCATACACAACTTGATTAACATAATGAAGAGTGGAAATAAAAACCAGAACGAACATCTGCTTCATATAAACACTGTTGGTCATCTGTGGTGTTCATTGAGTCCCCTCCATGGAGCGTTTTTCAAAGGGCCAAGTTAGAGCTGCGGTGGGAAGCATTTGCACTATGAGTGTGTTGTCAAACCCACTCTGCAATGAGTAGCATGAAGTTAATAGGAATTCTTGCATGAATAAGGATTACAGACAAGATCCAAGATTGCAATCACAAATTTCTCTGCTGCGGTCAGATGTCATTCCTTCTGCCAGGAAATCTTACTTTATGCTGCTCAAACAGCCATAGTGTTTTACTCTCAAGAGGACTGCAAAATGCAGCTGCATCTTTGATCCATCAGAATGGAAGTTTCCGTTTTAAATGCAAAGTTGTTGTGATAGCCAAGATAATGGTTTATCTCAACTGGGGAAGAAGCAGGATTTGAGTTTTGCTAAACAGAAACTTACTTGTTAATTCATTGGAATAAAACTAGCAAAAAGAAATATTAATAAGTCAAGATCCTCAGCTGCTGTAAGTCAGCAGAACTCTGCTGAAAACAAGGGAAGGCAGTGTTGCCTAGCAGGCAGAGACATGAGACCATAAGTCATTTCATCTCACTTTCTTCACCTGTATAATGGGGATAATGACACAGACCTGCTTTTGTAAAGTGCTTCAAGGCATGCTGGCGACTAGCGAGATAGAAGGGTTAGTATTATCATTCGTATGCCAGCTCGGGGCATAACCACTGGCTTCTTGGCCTCCCTATCTGGCCACGTTCAGTACAGTAACTCAGCTTTTGCCTGATTTGATTTCATCTGTCATCCTGTGCAGTCTTCCAGACATGCATGTGTCTATTCACTGAGCTGGCTGGTAATTAATCTACTAATCTGTTGCTCAAACAATGAACTGGGACTCATTCACTGAGGCTACGTCTAGATTGCATCCGTTTTTCGAAAGATCCCTCTTAAAATGAGGGATAAGGGATCTTTCGGAAAAGGCTTTATTTTCCAAAAGATCCGCGTCTAGACTGGCGCTTTTTTCCGGCAAAGCTCTGAGCCGGAAAAAAGTGGCAGCCATTTTTATGCTAACGAAGCGGGGGAGATTTAAATCCCCGCTTCATTAGCAATTGCGATACGTCTAATTTGTATCCCTTTTACGGAAAAGGGATGCAGTCTAGACACAGCCTGAATGTGTATGGGGCATCTGCTGATTCTCTTGACACACTTAACATGTTTATTATTTCCTGGTGATTTTTTGCTGTCCTTTTTTTATATATAAAGCTGCCTACTACATTCAGCATAGACAACAGTTTATCTTCCCAGGTAAGTTCATTGCTTTAATTCTACTAACCAGCTTGTGCCGTTTTCTGCCCAAATTGAACTATGGTTAAATCTGGTTTTTTTTTTTAGACTGCTGTTTCTTTTTCCAAAAAAGAATTAAAGCTTTCTCTTGTGACACCATAACTGGTAATGCGAAGCCATTCTTTCCTAATGACTGCTTTCCTTATTTACATTTTAAAGTGGTTTGTTGAGCGGCCACAGAGGAGAATCCCTTCACAAAAGTCAATGTACCATACTGATATTCCTTTGAAAAATGTATCCCTATTTTCAGAGCTATAGGGCTGGAGGATGCATCTGAGGATCTGGACCACAGGGATTTAAGAAAGAATTAGCTTATTCAGCTCATACACTTCTCTGGGTTTAATATAGGGTCTTCATTAGGGAATGTGGTTTTTTTTTGCAGGGTCTGCCCGTGTGTGCAGTAGGTGTGTGGTGGGGTGGCTTGTAGGCTGAAGGAGGAGGTACAGCTCTGACTGAATACAAGTGTCTTAGTGTGAAAGTTCTGTAACCCCCACCTCGCGACCTGTTGGTCACTAGAACGGGCCCTTTTCTGTAGATCTTAGGATCTAATTTCCGTAGAACCAGAGAGTTAGAGTCCATCTGCTCTAACCCCCTGCCAACGTGCAAGATTTTAGACCTAACAAGTCATGTTGCCTCTCTGTTCCTCAGCCTGTCTGTCACTCCCCATGAATGCAGCTTGTGTGGACACACCTGAGCTCGTTTTAATCTAGCTAGCTTGGGTGACGGAGCACAGACTTTAGTGGGGTTAGATGCCCGAATAATTATCTAGGGTTCTAGGCTGGCTTGTAGTACCCACTTGGAAGCCTGTGCAGTTGCATCTTTGTTGCTCTATTACCTGAGCTAGCTAGATTAAAGGTCGCCTCAGATAGGTCTTCACAAACTGTACTCGCACCCTGTGCTTGCTGTGTAGAGGTACTCTGGTGTCCACCTCTGTGAAGTGGGTAATGCCAGTCTCACAGGGAGTCTGTAAACCTCTTTGAGGTGCTTGAATGAAAGGCAAAATATGATTTGGATTGAGGAATAAAATACTAATTCATCAGTAATTAGTGTCCCACTTCTACAACTAGTGCTCTTCATAGACCGTTTCTTTTTTAAGAAAACATTTTAAATTCAGATTAACTGAGGCCAGGCCTACACTAAAGGGGAACATCTAATCAAGAGACGCAATTCCAGCTAAGTTAATTATGTCACTGGAGTTGACGTAGCTTGATTCGAGTTTCCCCGCTGGCCTCACAGCGGGAAGCCGACAGGAGCAAATGCTCCCTTCAGCTTCTCTTACTCCTCACAGGAGCAGGAGTATTGGCGACCCGCTAAATCGAACTCTAGAAAATGGATTGCAGCAGCATCTGTCTTCCCTGGAGTGTAGACAGGATCTGAGAGAGTCCTCGTGGGCAATGCCTTGTGGGGTTGCTATAGAAAATGGGCTGCCTACACCAAGCTGACACTAGGTGGTGCAGGCGAGCCACATGGGTAAAGCAATCCATTGAATATTTTATTATGAGCATTGTTGCAAATGCGATTAGAAGTCATATGAAATTGTGCACCTGAAGCTGGCTCCAATTCTACAAGTACTTATGCACGTGCTTAAAGGTAAGCATACGAATTCATGAATTGCACTATTGTCTGCTTACAGCTAAGTGCATCCAGGTAAATTTTTGCAGGATCAAATTAGCAGCTGAGTTGAATAATTCACATAATGTCACATTATTCATCAGAAAAAAATCCGATTCAATCAACACAAATGTTCATAATTAGCACTATGCGTATTGTTTATAGTGTTTGCTTAATGTATAGAAATGTCAGGATGTAGATATCTGCCTATGTAGTTCCAAGATGAGAACTAGAGCCACAGTAATGTATTATAGCGATTGCAATATGCGCATTGTATTCCAGATTTGTCTGTTTTTTGTTCCAGAAATCCCCAGCTCCCTGCAAGTAACACAGCCGCCTGAAACCGCCGAAGACACTAAGTAAGCATTATATTTCTTCACGCTTTGGCTCGCTTTATAGCGAACTGAAATGTTAAACTTTCTATCGAGTGGTTAGAGCAGAGGGCCAGTAGACCGGAATTCTGGGTGTTATTCTTACCTGTGCCATGGATTCATTGCCCAATTTTAAGGAAAGCACTTACACCAGTGGGGGGCTACTGATGGCCCATGGGTCGCATGTGGCCTATCGGAGTTCTGTTTGTGGCCCATGAATCGTTTTGTTTACTGTTGCTCACGTGCAGATTCTCCTGGTTTCCATCCATGTAGGTTTTTTCCTCCCGGTATTACTAAAGCGAAACACACGTAAAGCAACGCCATGTGAAGTGCACACTGGTTGCTCACAACATTGTGAGAGCTGTGCGCTCCCCCTGCAGCCAATCACAGCGCTGCTACGATTCGATCGGCACATCCCGCACGTTTTAAGTATTCAAGCGCAGGTAGCAACACTACCCTATCGCAGGAGACCATCTTGGTTACAGCCGTCTTGCAGCCCACTGAGATGGAGGGCCACTGATGTGACCCACTCACTAGTCTAAGTTGCCCACACTGATTTCCACCCCTTTTACAAGATTGGTAAAGAGAGGTTGACGCTTACCTCACTCCGGGGATATTAGAGGGGGAAGTTAACTAATGTTTAGTACAGCACGTGGATGAAAGGGTCCCTTAACGTGCAAAGGTTTTTGTTTTTAATGGTGATTTTTTTTTTTTAATGGTCAGAAAATGTGAGGGGAGGTTCCCTACGGAAAATTTTTAAAACAAACCAATTTTTCATTTCAATTTTCTGCAGAACATGTAGGGTTTACTGAAAAAGTTGACCAAAACGGAAATTATTTCCATTTGTGGCTGGCCTATTTCCGTTTACAGTCCGGGGAGGTGGGGGTTGTTGACAGCAGCAAAAAAATGAATCGAAAACCAAACTTTCTATTGAACCGTTTCAATATAATGCTTTTGGCCACTCTTATCAATGATAATTAATTCCCAGTAATCTGATAAGGCTGTGAGCACTAGAAAAATGACATTTTCCAGATGATAATCTGATGGACGGTGCTTGCTGGTGTCGTTGCCTAGTGGCTACGATATCGT